ATATATATATATATATATATATATATAGGCATAGGCAGGAACGAGAAAAGAATCTACTCCTATTCAGCGTGACCTCCTGCAGCTCCACCACTACTTACCCCGGAGAGGCGAGGAGAGTCAAAATCGATACAGCAGTCACTCCGGTAGCCTGGTGTTGTCGAAACAATCAAGCAGAGACAACGCTGGGATGGCAAACTCTCAAGGCGTAGCCTGGTCTATCTGTGTGCGATTGGTGCGTGCATTTCTACGTGTGCGCACACTGGTTCTTGATGGCCAAATAAGTGTGCACGCATCGAGAGGGTGATATGGTGTGCTTGCTTATGTGGTTATGTTCCAGAAGATGTTCTAGCAACATCACAAGCCGCTTTCTCTCCGCGCCCGACGGAGAGGTTGGTGGCGCGATTGGCAAGATGCTTAGAGACTAAAGAGGTGGCAAGTGGCATTAATATTTTGGGTATTTTGCATCTCATGAAGCTCCTTGGGTATGATCGAGCATTATGTGAAGCAATGCCTGTAAAAGTTTGGCACGGGTGCTTATAACGCAAACTGCCTACAGAGGGCCAAGCTAGTGTTTTTCGCAGGCGGGTGCAGTGTAAGCGCACGCAGCAGAGTGGGTTTGGCTGTTAGCGCTTGCACATGGGGTTGCATTGCAAGACTAGTTGCTGTGTGGGGTTGTACTTCAGCACTAGTTGTAGTTAGGTGCATTGCAACACATCATAGGCCGCCTCCCCTACCCCAGCTCCACGTCCTTGGGCCGCTGCCCTCAGGATCCTTGGAGAATGATGCTGGATAGGAAATGGGCGGCCCTTTAGAAAATGATATATTTAGCCCTTCGGCTCTACTGCCGTTCACGGTGGTCCTCCAGTAAGATCGAAGACTCTCGCTAAACGATTCTCACAAACAGGATGAGTTCCTGAGTGTATACAGAGCAGCAGACGAACTAGAAGCGCCAAAAGGAAAACATTCCCTCTCTCGTCCAAAGTGTGGAATACTAGAGGCCCAAAGTCTCATGCCTAGTGACCTTCCGGTGGTTCTGAACCATCGTCTCGACACGGGGCCTCAAGAAAACGAGGTTATTTTTGGCACGTCGAGAAACATTTTGACAGTTCGGTAATATTGAAGAATGCATGTGCACGCACATCGTTTTCTTTTCCCGCCACTTTCATACCTGCATCTGTATCTACTACATTTCACAGGGTCCGCAGGAGAGCAATGAACATCGACAAGCAAGCATTTAATCAGAAGTGTAGCTCCCGGGCATAATGACCCTTGTATAATACCAAGAGGGTAATATTTCTGAATATATTCAGTTTGGCGAGTGGAAACCTAGTCACAATGTAAACAGGCCAAACGCCTCCACGTGTGCTAGCCAGACCCTTCCTGTTCCACGGAAAGCAGGACAGGACGAAGCAAGTTTCTGCTCTCTACCATCTGTAAGAATTTGAATGCAGGTTTAATTGAGATCCAGAATTCTTGAGACCTCTTCTCATCGTCAGTGGCGGGGCCTCTAGCCCCTCATCTCCAGCTTGGGCGTGTCCTCCTCGTTAGGATGAAGTAGACGTAGACGTACGGGCTCTTTTTGGATTTGACCTTCCTCTAGCACCACAAGCCATTTTTGCTACATCATCCGTCTCTCTCTTCGTCATTTTTTCTGTGTCACCTCACGGCGCAGCCACTGTTTTCTGTCGTTGTCCACACGACATCGGCAGGCTGCCTTCCTATGTTCGCCTACTCGTCTTTCCCCGCGTCGTTTTCCGGCCTCTAGAGCTTCTGTTTGTCTCACAATGGGCAACGCGTGCATGGGTAGAAGGCCATATGCAGCGAAGGACATTACTGAAACCGTCGAAGAGCAGGCGGAAGCAGAGAGGAGAAGAAATGAGGTCAGAGGAGCAGGAGAGAAGCGACTGGCTCTGTAATTTTGCACAGTTTGAGAAGGTGGAGGAATATTTCCTCTAGGATATATGCCGTAGTTGTCATTCCTGTGATGCCTTCCGCGTTTATGCGCCCTCGTTGGTTCTTGCGCGTGTGGTAATCTTCATACATTGCAGCTACTTGGCTCTCACCCTTTATGTATGCCCTTGCTCGTCGCTCTGTTAGCAGTTACTCCCCGTCTTCAAGCAATTCCCCATGGAATTTACGCATGTGAATAAGAGCAATGGGGAAGATATGCCACATATATGCGCATGCCCTTTGCTTTTGCCAAAGCCAAAGGCATGTTCCTCGTGACGGCGTATAAAGTTTCCTCTGAAATATGTGTTCTCCAGTGGCTCCGGATAAGACAATTTTGTTTTAGTCTGTATTTGCTTGCACAGCGGATGCAGAAGCTGGCGACGGCGCGGCAGGGGGCACTGCGCACCCTCAAAACCTCCCAGGCCCACACAAGGGCTGAAACGATCAGGCAAAGGAAAATACAGGAGGCAAGGGAACAACTGGGTAAGTAATCTACGCATGCACATACTACTTTAGGGGGGACGCGAAATGAGATGAAATGGGGGCAGCCGTATGCATAGGCAGCACAGAAGAATGGGGGAGGGGAGCCTATCGCCTGCATTTGGAGGTTGACTAGTAGAGCGGTAAAGAACGACAGGTAGGTGGTATGAAGAGAGCAGTCAGAGTGAGGATTTCGCACCTATTAGCACAAAAAGCTAAACAAGACAGACATACGGGAACTGCTCAGAAAGGTACACTGGAGATGTAAGGATCAAGCTGAGCACTCAGCACATCGGACTCAAGTCAGAAGGGCTTAAATATGCTGTTGTGTTCCTGGGCCAATAGGTATCAAACCACCCGATGATGACGATGAAAGATCTTCGCAGTCTGAGGAGAAGGCAGGGAGCGACAAAATCCCAACTGAGTCTCTGTGCGATCAATTGCATTTAACTCCTTAAGGACGAATTTGAGGCTTCAGGGTGAGAACTGTCCTGCTGGCTAACCAGCATTACCACACAAGTGTAGTTCTCTACAGCGAATAACCAAACGCACACAAAGCTTGTTAGACCCTTTAACTGCTTGTGGAAAGAAGACAACGTTTCGAGCAAAGGCGTGCAAGCTTAGTAGATCTAAGGGGTGTATGTAGTAAGGGAGCCGCAAGGCTCCCAACTAATGTTATCTGTATTGCATTACATTTAATTCCTTGGGCAGTCTACTCGCGTTTTCTGGTCTGTCTATTATCCACATGTAGCCTTATGTGCGCGCCCTGGTATAGCCTACAAACCAGCCATCAGCTTCTTAGGGGCCTTGTTTGGCAGCAAACTGCTTAGTCACACCCCTTACGGCCTACAAAAAGTGAATTTGCTTGTCACCCCCTAGCCTTACGATTGTGCTTATGGTTCTGCCTCTCAAAACGGCGTGAATGTCTGTTGCTTGCTCTGGACAGTCAGTCCAGGATTCGTTCAGGATCAGCGTGGGGGGTGCGGCAGAAGGGAGGATATGCAAAGACTCAAAGCCACAGTATGCATCGGCAAGGCGGCGAAAAAGGACCAACAAAGGCAAGGACGCACGCACGACGAGGCGGGTGGTAGGCCAAAAAAACGAAGCAAGGATGTGCAACAGGACGAAAGCTGAGCAAGTAGCTGGGAGATGGCGCTGGCACCACATTCTCCCGTCCCAGAGAATTTTCTCATCCTCTCGGGGACACGGCTGGTTGCGCATGCGCTCTGTGCGCTCGCTACTGGATTCTTCTAGTCATCTAAATGCCGCGTCCCCCAAAACGCTACCGAGTCCAGCATGAACCACCTACGTGAATGTTGCTTGCCCGCAGTTGCCGCCGCAGCAGCCGCATGTGAAGGAGCAACGCAGATATCACAGGACATACAGAGAGTTCTCTTCAAAATCTCAGCAGCACCGTTCCCCTCCTCCGGACTGGATACAGGCGAATCATCACAGCAATTCCTGGTGCGGCTTCGGCTAGCTGGGCCCCTGCTGAAGTGCAGCGTTGTGTCGTGTTGCGTGTCGGCAGATAGGGTTCTGGTGCTGTTGAGAGGTTGTACGCAACCCTCTCGTACGTTTCTCGTACAGTTGCCTCTCTTGCTGCGTCTAAAAGCCGTTCTGCAGCAACTGCTATTGCATATGCTTTTCGTCGAGTCGTCGCATTGACTGGAGTTACTATCGCAGCTTCCAGGTACAACGCGCTGGCAGTAGCAGCTGTTGCAGTGCGGCAGCACCTCCGTCACCTTAACACTCAGCAAGTGAAACCCTAGGTCCTGGACCAACACAGCAAAGGGACTGACGTACGCGAGGACCCTACTCAATTTTGAGAAAGCAGGACGCTCTGATGTTGCTGCCGCTCGTCCACCTGTATGCATATATGCCCCTTCTGCTGCGTCACCATTTGCTTTCGCCTTTGGAGCCAGTAGCTCAATACGCCGCAGCTGCGGCAACAAACGACAAAGCGCTCGCAAACTTCTCTGGAGCTGTAACGGCGGCACGTAGAGCGGTTGCCTGACCGAACTGCTACATCGCGAAGAGCTACTGCTTCTTCTGTTGCTGTTGCTGACGCTTTTGCTGCTGCTAGCGCTTCTATGGCGCCCGGTTCTTCTACGCCCGGTTCTTCTACTGCGGCAGCGCTGCCTACCCCCGTTTAATGTTACCCCTCTCTCTGTTGACGCAGCAGCCTCGGTGGCAGCAAATGCAGCAGACGACTCAGAGCGAAGAGGGCGGAACTGACCAGCAACTGACTGTTGTAGTACATGGATGCGGTGCTGCTGCTCTGGAGACAGAGAAAATCTCAGATCAGCGTTGCTGTATCCCCTGATGCGTAGCAAGAGCAAGGATTGCAGCAGGCCTCTCTCCTGCAGATGCTGTAAAACTTCTGCAAGGAGAGTGAAACTCACAGCATCTTCCAGTGCACTAGCGGTAATTTCCAGTCCCGCTAGTCTTGTCTGCAGCAGCCAGACGAAGCACAAGACGCCAGTTTGGTAGCCCTTGATGTTACGCACAGCATCAGCATCACGAGTTAGCCCAGCAACACACAAGCAGCAGAAATAAAAATTTACAGGTGAGAGCAAATAAAGCAGCCATAGAAGCCTCAACAGGAGAATTCACAACAGCAGAACTCTAGCCAGTAGTATCTTAAAGCACCAGCAACTTACAAGCACCCTGGGGTCTTCCATACAATTCATCAGCATAACCAGATCGGTTACGGAGACGCATGCAAATGGAAACAGCAGAACAAGTCGCTTTATTTCATCCTCGTCTCCGCCATATACCTTGCTGCTGCTGATATCCTGCCGCAGCAGGGATATTGTGGGCATCGAGAAGTGCGGGTGCTCAAGGTATGTTCGATCTACGAGACCAGAAGCAAACACGGGCCCCTCATCGTTCCCTTGGTAGAAAGAAAGGGCGCCAACGACTGCATGTGCACTGTTCACGACTTCTGCTGGAGATGCACTACCGATGAGAGGCTGGGTAAACTGCAAATTGAACGGAGGCTGGCCCGGCACTCCCCACCTGCTGCTGCAATTGCCGCAGCTGCACGCACTAACCTCGGACTGGTCAGCTGTGCACTGTTCAAGAAAATCTTCAAGTCTACACTCCAACAGAGACCGGCATTTTCTGCTGTCTCCACTACCAGTCCCACTTTCAGCACTGCACGTGACCTTCAATTGCAGGCTGCTGCCCAAGCAGCAGCGAGCCGAAACTCTGCGGGAGGCAGCAGGGCTGAAGCATGTGTTGGTGGTACGATCCAAGTCGGCATCTCTGCTGCTATTTCTACAGCCACTGCGCACACGGCTGTTTGACTCGCCTTCACATGCATTGCCGCGGTGCCACTCCTTGCCGCAGTCCTTGCCCCCCAGAGAGTACAGAGTTGGCTCATGTCGCACCTGCAGTTGTTCGTGCTCTTGCAATTCATCCAGGTTATTCGGAAGGGCAGAGGTGTGCCGAACTTGCATCTGTAGTATTCTTTGCTGCGGCTGTCTCACCTCCGTGTCTTCACATCGTGATGTTTGCGCAAGTGCTGCTCTCCTTGCTGGTGTTTCTGCTTCGTGTTCTGGTAGGTAGGTTCTTGTCAACGATGCGACTGGTGAGTTCGACTCTGTTGCATTCGCTGCTGCTCTTAGTCTTGTTGATGCTGGTGCACCTGCCTCAGCTGCTGGAGCTGCCACAGGAGGGGACTCACAAAGGGACCCGAAACGGCTAAAGGAACCACTGAATTCGTGCTGCTCATGTAGCTGCTGCGCCGCGAGAGCCTCGTAAGCTGCTGCTTCAGCTGCAGCAGCGGCAACAATGGCATCAACGCTGTCTTTTCGTGGAAGGGTGTCGGTTGTAGGTACGGGTGCTGCATTAGACGGCTGCTCAGGCTGTGAGGTCCCCTCTTCCCCTTTGAACAAACCGCTCACCTCCAAGCCATATTCATGAGGCAGCAATGGCTCTTTGCCGTCAGAGAGAAAAGCAGCAACAGCAGCACCGCCGATGAGCTTTCCTTCCGCTGTTGCCGTTAACTCCGGTGTACCAGCGCCATTGAATGGAACGTCGGGCGCCCCACCCTGGCTACCCTCTCGCTCGTAGTCTGAAGAAAAATAGTGCAACAGAGAGCTGCGACCTCGTGTTCGACTTCTGTTGCTGCTGCTGCTAAACTGCGAGGAGCTGCGCAGCCTGTGTCCGAGGAAGCTGCTGCTGCTGCGGCTTCCGCTGGCTTCGCTATTAGACTTGACCGATTCCCTCCAAAGCAAAGCGCTCTCCAGGGCAACTGTCTTCGCTGCAATAGCATCTTCGAAAGCCTTAGTTGCTTCTATCAGCTTTTGCGTTGCTGCTCCCGTGACTTCTCCAATCGCAGCACGAGCTGCAGCAGCAGTTGAAGCGATGGAGTCAACGGTAGATGAAGCTGCTGCTGAAAAAGCAGCAACAGCTGAGGCAGCGGCCGAAGCAGCTGCTTCGTGGCATCGTTGAGCAGCCGCAGCAATGGCATTACTAGACTTCTCCGCAGCCTGGCTGGTCGTTGCTACTGCTACTTGTGTTGCAGCATCAGCAGCAGTAGCCGCTGCAGTTGCGGCAGCTTCAAGGGCTACTGCGACACGCAGCCCCTGAGATACGAGAAAGTCCTCCACATGAGAAGACATTTGGCATTCATCATTTCCAGTTGCTGCTTCGGCAACTGCCGCCGCCGCAGAGGCTGCCTCTGCTGCCGCCGAAATTGCTGCTGCTGCTGCCTTTGCAGCAGCTGCTGCTGCTTCCTCACCAACGGTCTCACAGCGCGAGTACACTGCTGATTCTGCTGCGCCTGGCACTTTCCCTACTGCTGCAGCAGAGCATATCTCTTGCTCGTCGACCATGCCTGCAGCGAGAGCAGCGTGGGCGGCAGCTGCTGCTCCCTTTGCAGATGCAGCAGCTGCCTGGGCAGCAGCTGCTTGGGCCGCCGTCCTTTCCACTACATCGGCAGCAGCGGATGCTGCTTTCCATTTGGTCCCAGCAACTCCAGCTTGTATGGGTGTCCCTCGTGATGCAGTTACTGTTGGTTGCGAAGCAATATTCGGCCCAGGCCGAGCCACGGCTGGCCCCTGATCCGCACTAGCAGCAGGAGGCGGCGCCTCTGAACCACACCTTGTGGTGCCACTCATAGAAAATATTCCCCTGACTAACCGCTTCTGCTGGCCCGTGTCTCCTTGCGTTGTTGTTGATAATGCTTTGTTTGCGCGCTAACCCTCCAACACTGACTGTGCTAAGTCACAAACTTGTCGTTTCTGCTTTCCGTTGTTGCCAATCATTCGTCTAGTATACCTTCAATCGTGAAAGTCTCCCCTGTGACTGTATATCGCTGCAGCGCTGTGAGGCTTCTGTGAAGCTGTTTGGAGCCACTGGTCTCACCATTGGCTACCGAATAGCCACAGCCGTCCGTAGATACCTCAATTGCTGCGATTTATCGATGAAAGAACCAGGCAGAAATGATCAAATACTCGTTGCCAACTAACGGCAAAAGTTCTGCCCCGTCGTGTATGTGTCGATTGTGAGAAGCAGCGTCTGTGGGGGCTTGAAGAGGAGCCAGCTGAAAGAAAGTGGGATTTACTCTGCACGCGCCTAATGAAAATAGCTTCGGTGATAGTAAAAATTCGTGTTCTGGCAGATGTTGAAAAGTGTAAAGGAGAGTGATGCCTGCCTGCCCTGAAAGCCACGAAGCCCCAAGCAGAAAGTGTGGCGGCCAGCTTCAGCTGGCGTAAGAGCCTTGCCGATCACTATTCCTCCTTCATGTGACGCAGAGCCTTCTACCTGTGATAATGCGGGGGAATTAATGCAGAGCTTCCTTGTGAGTATGGAATTCTGGTCTTTTGTGGGGCGAAGGTCTTGGCTAGCACAGCTCCACGCAAACTGCGGCACTGCTTTTGCACAGCTACCGCAGCAGATGCGAGGACACTGCCCTACACATCCTACAGTCTCTTGGTATAGTTCAGAATGTAGGGACTCCTAAAACAGTACTTGCTAGGATATAGATGGCTGCTCCCCACCCACGCAGGTTTGATGGGTGAAGTTGTTGTCACCATATTGAGGTTCTGCAGTGAATATTGCTGCCGCCAGAAAAATCAGATGTTTTTTTCCCTCCTTGAGTTATTGTGTAGTTTGTTGACACGCGAAAGTGTCATCAGAAATAAGTATCATAATGCAAATCATGGCGGGCAAATGTGTCCACGGTAGAAAAGAGAGGGGACCACCGTCATCAATGCAGAGCGGGGGAAACAGGATATGAATTAGTACCACAAGCTAGCAAGCAGGGGCTGAGTATGGTTGCTGAGCGAACCATTCAAGAAGTGTCCAGCTTCTTGGTGAGCAGCCATGCGGCAATACAGGAGGCAGCACTGTTCGGGATGCTCGCAGCACAGCGGGTGCTTTGGCCAACTTCTTCAAATACAAACCCGATGCGAGTTGCTTCTAAGTCTCAGCAACAAGTGTGCCTCGCCAGGCCGAATAATTGCACAATTCTGGCTACGCATATTTCTATCGTAGGTAGAGACTGTCATGCGCGTATCAGCCAGAAGGAGGCTCTGCTCAAATGAGCCCACTCCTACCAAGCGGCGCTATTCAAGCATATGAATTACGGCAAGTAGACTATTTATTCCGCACGGAAAGTGACGAGGCGTGGAAGCTCTCTGATAATCTGTAGGCAGCATATTCTGTACCGTTCTGTGGCATCTGCAGTTGTAGAGTAGGGTCTACCCACCTCTTTGGGCATCCGACGCCACGCGGGCAAGAAGATGTGGGCACGAATTCCTATCAGCGCCTGTTTCGAAGCATTCGCAGTAATCCAAAAACTCGACCCTATCTTCTAGCAGGTTGAAGAGAATGGTGCAGGCAGGCCACATCAGGGAAAGGCTGAAGAGTCACATCAAAGTGGGGCATCACTTTAGGTTCCCCCTGCATAGAAGTGGCTGCCGCTACGCCTGAAGGTAGCTGTGTTGCTGGTGGCAAAGACAACCCAATCCTAAAGAGCTGCCTTCAAGCAGAAACTTTTTGCCACGGTAGGCCAGGCCAGTTCCTAATTGCCAGAGTTCAAGCACTTTCTGCTGCGAGTGGGAGGCGTTGAAGTTTCGCACTTTCATCACGAGGTCCGGGCCTTGGACTGCGGCATTGAAGAAACTCTCTGGAAGATGTTAGAATTGAAGGTGTGAATTCGCGGATAATTCTTCCTGTTACGGTTCGTCGTTGCACACTGGATACATTCACCAAGCCAAATACCACAACAGCTTTGAAGCCCATCATTTCTGGAAGAGGGTCGAGCGAATTGCGCCCAGGGGGGGAAATATTGGCGCAACTAATATATCTGACGAAGCATGCATCACCACGAATCTTCCTCCACAGACCACCAATAATTGCCCTCAGAACTCGTGAATATCCTACTATGATTGCGCGGTTGATGCCATTTACGGGAATGTCATTGCTCTAAAACTGCGCAGTTTTTGGATCGAGCTGCACAGCATGCCAGGCAGTTGGACAAGGAAAGGCCAAAGATAGAGGGGCAATAAGCTTGAGGAAGGCGCTCCTTCCTGCATTAGAGGTATGCTAGCCTTGGGGCCACCACCAAACAGGAATCATTTTGTTGGTCAGGCGTTGCAGAGGATCAGCAATACGTGCAACGTATGGCACAACATAAGAATAGTAGCTTGCCGTGTTCAAAGGTCGTCGGACTTGTGTTCTGTATGAGGGATTGTCCAGCATGGGGGTAATGGGCTCAACGGAAAGTGAGAGAACCAGTATCTCAGATACGTGAAGGCGGAGCCCATTAATGTCGTTGGTCTGAAATGCACTCCTTTGGCATGCTCAATACTTTTGTTTTACAGTCCTTGGAGAACTTTGCGTAGGCCATCTTCATGCTGTTCTTGGGAGGGAGCGTTGATGATGCCATCCATGTGGACTTGCACAAAATGAAGGTCTTTGAAATTCTTTCTATTTACTTTTTAAAGAATGCCACGAGGTTAGTAAAACCCACAGACACAAGCCACTATTTTCCCGCTCTGGCTTCTACAAGCCAGAGCGGGAAAATAGTGGGCTAAAGACCGTTGAGCCAGTGGCTTTGCCAGGGATGCCGAGCAGTGGTAACGAAACCCTCTCTTCCACTTCTTCTCAAGACAAATGGGGCTCGAAGTGCTCAGATGCTTGCTGATGGTCCTCTCCACCCGTTGTGCATCAGCTTATGTTTCCGTGCAACATAAGCTGATGCACAACAGGGATGTTGAAGCTCTCGGTTCTGAAGGCAGTTAGCGATCTTGCGAAAACTTTGCGCATTCGCGACTAGGGCAACGGCGAGCAGGTGCGACCTTTTCGTAGGGGAGGCAGATTGTTTTGCTTTGACAAGAAGACCTCCCAGGATTTCTTGGATTGCTCGAGAGAGGCAGTGCAGAGCTGTCTATCGATTTTTTTATGATGTGGCCGACCAGTAGGCGTAATAGCTGGCCTCAGTTAGTTGGGAACCAAGTTGTCAAGCAGTGCAACCTTTAATCCTACACCACTGACTTGAAAATGAATGCCTCCGGGAAAGGTTTAACGGGAAGAGAAGCATTGTTTCAAAACAGACTCGTTATTTGCCCTCATAGCACCATATTTGAAACACCTTTCCCAACTGCACATGCGAGACCGCCCATTTATATCCCAGGGGAGCCCACATAGGGGGCTCCCCTGGCAGAACAGCCGTTGTCAGTTAAAAATATGTTGCTAAGAGGGCAGAAGCATTGTTTCAAAACAGACTCGTTATTTGCCCTCATAGCACCATATTTGAAACACCTTTCCCAACT